TGAGCCATTGGAGGGAGGGGAGTCATGGGGAGCCATTGGAGGGAGTGGGGCTCAGAGGCCCCTGGAGGGAGGGGGTCATGGGGAGCCAGTGGAGGGGGCAGGGAGGCACTGCAATGAGGTGGAGGTGGTCCTGAAAGGCCCCCCTGGGTCCTGACCTCCTCCCTGTGTGTGCCGTCCACATGCCCGTGGTGAATACACAGTGAGCACTGAGCTGGGTCCTCTCAGCTCTGTCACTGCCCTCGGCCTGTTCCCTCACGCACGTCCCGGTGCCTGGCAGGCACGGGGTTGCTCATTCTCAGCCCCTCAGCTCTTTATGGGGGAGGCTTGCTGCCCCGTTGGGGGCATGCACTTCAGGAGAAACCTTGAACTTCCCAGACACTGCCCCTGTGTCTCACCCTCCCTGCCTCCATCCCACAGGCTTAATTGGAAATATCTACCTGAATAATTCTCCCCTGAAAAACTTCAGAATCTACAGCCTGGACATGAAAAAGAGCTTCTTTCAGAGGTCGGTCCCAGCCGAGGGCGGAGTGTGGGCTCCCAGGGGACGTGCAGAGAGAGCCGGCGGCCCGGGAGCTGCCCCGGCCTCACCCCTCCTCTCGCTCAGCTGTGAGCAGACCAGGGCCCTGCCATGTGCCCAGGTGGGGCAGTGCCCGCCCTGGAGACGAGGGCGTTTCCACGGCACCACCCGCTGCCATTCCTGGGCCCCGTGGACTGGCGCCTTTGCCATGGGAGGCGGGGTGGGGCCCGGATCTGAGAAGGTACCCCCTCCCTTCCTTGTCTTCTGTTCTGTCCATAGATTCAGCTCCAGCATGTGGAACCTGGTCCCCGAAACACCTGTGTTCCCCGCTTTCTTCCTGGGCGCCTTGCCTGTGGCCCTTTCCCCCTTGGACACCTTCATGAAGCTGGAGGTTCGTAGCCGCCCCCGGCCCAGGTTCTGGTCCGTCCTCAGCTGCTCTGAGCCCCAGCCCGGAGGAGGGGCTGCTCCCCACAAGGCCTCGCCCTCTCTCACCTGCGCCTGGACCTGGACCGTCCGGCTTTGGGCTGCCCCCTCTGCAAGGGCCTGGCCTCCCGGGGGAGGGAGCGAGTGGGCCCCCAGCAGAGGGGCCGCCCTGTGGAACTTCTCAGGGCCCAGGTTCCTCCGTCCAGGGTGGGAAATCAGGGCTGTTGGGACAGAGAGACGGGGCACCCCACCTGGTCATCTCCTGGCTGTCACATTGGCCGGTTGGAAGCCGAGAGAGGAGCCCAGAGCGCGTCTGCCTTCCTGGGGTTTCCCTGTGCCGGCTCTGTGGCTGACTCACACTCACTCTGCTCAAAGGGCTGGGAGAAGGGCGTTGTCTTCATCAATGGCCAAAACCTGGGGCGCTACTGGAACATCGGACCCCAGGAGACACTCTACCTCCCGGGGGCCTGGTTGGACCAAGGCATCAACCAGGTGGGAGCACTTGCAGCCCCTTCCCTTCTTCCCAGGCCCTTTCCCACTCCCCTCCTGGCATCACAGCTCCCCAGGGAGGGAGGGAGGGAGGCCCTTGCTATAGTCTGTTGGGGCCGGAGAGGGCGAGTTCTGGCCAGCTCCCTCTCGGCTCTCCTTGGCACTGGGGCGTTGTGGGCCCCTGTTCCTTCCGCCCAGTTCCCAGCCCCTTCCCTGAGGCTCCCTCTCTGACTCCAAGACACACCCGGCTGCTGTCACCCCAGCGCTTCTCTCCCCAGGTCATTGTTTTCGAGGAGAGGGCGGCAGGCCCTGTGATCCAGTTCACCGAGACACCCCACCTGGGCAGGAACCAGTACATTCACTGAGCCGTGTGGCGGGAAGCGGGGGGCGCCCGTCCTCACGGCTGCCTGGAGGTCTGATGGGCTGCCCCCCAAGCCCATGGTGGGGAGCCCATCGGGAGCGTTTCCTCCGGGAGCCGAGGGCTGTACCTCTGCCCACTGCTGTGGTTCAAGACCCCGAACCTGCTGAAGAAGAGGCGGGGCTGGTCAGGGGGGACGCCCTTCTCACCTGAGGGGGTTCTAGACTGGGCTCCGTGGATGGTACTGTCCTACTCCCTCTCTCCGGGGAGAGGGCAGAGGGATGGATGTCTGGGTTGAGAGTGTCTGGTCGGGTCTCCATGTGGTGACACCTGGGCCCGGGGAAGGCCTGGCCGGCTGGGCGTGGCTGCTGCACCCAGCTGTGCCCTGCGGATGTTCTGGCCCGGCCCCCCTCGGGGCCCCTTTCTGATTCTGAAATAGAGGCCTTGGCTCCATCGGTAGAGGATAGTGAGAGGTGTCTCTCTCCTGAGTCGATGGTGGTTTCTTTTTTCTTAGAAAATATTTTTATTGATTTCAGAGAGAGGGAGAGAGAGAAACATCAATGATGAAAGAGAATCATTGATGGGCTGCCTCCTGCACGCCCCCTACTGGGGACGGAGCCTGCATCCCGGGCATGTGCCCTCGGCCAGAATCGAACCCGGGACCCTTCAGTCCGCAGGCCGACGCTC